TTTGCGTCAAGCCTATTGTGTGTTCAAGTCAGACGGGGGGTTTGGGCTCATAGCCTATTGAAGGGGTGGCTCATTGCGACCAAAATAAGATGCTCTGATCTGTTGTTATTCTCTTCGTTACACGAACTCTGGCCACAGTGTGCGGCTCCTAATATGTCCACAAGGTGCTGGCTTTCACCTGCACCCACTGTAGCTTGATCCTTGTTCTCGAACCTTGCATGACGTTCGATAGTGTTCTATAGGCTGCGTTGTTTCGATGTGCTTCGCCATGCCTCACTCCGTTGACGCACGCGTCCGCGCGGCCACTACTGCTGCTCCGTCAGGATCTGTGCTTCACGGCGCTGTTGAAGGTAGGCGGGTGGCCTCGTCTGGTTGACATGGTCGTGCATGCGTTAAATGCCATTCACTCGGTGGCAGCAGGTGCACAACCTGCGGCCCTGTTCTTTGCCCGCGCGCTCCGCATGCCTGCCGATGCTCACACTCCTGTCGCTCTCTCTCTCATGCACCCCCATCCAGCGAATGCTCCCCTACCGCGGCGTAACGCAGCAGCGTCGCCGGCATGTTCATTTCGATCGGTAGCGGCTCGTGCGCCTCACCCACCCGAGCAAGATCATGAGGGACAGCTGGCGGGCGGGCCGCTGGGAACAGAATCTGCTCCGCGCAGAGCGTCCATTCTTCGTTACTAAGCAGGTGCGCGACACCGGGTACACTCTAGCCGATGGACACAGGACTGTTGTCTCCGATTATACGCACTCCCGCTAGCTATGTCCTGTTACATCGCAAGGTCACGATTTTGAGGGGGGGATGTTGTGAACGACGGAAACAAACACCTGACCATGCATTCAGCCCTACCGCGCCATGAGCCACGCCATTGGCGCATCCACCAGGGCCTTCCACTCTCCCCTCTTATCATTGATGCTCGGCTGTGCTTTGTGCAAATGTATGTCCCTCAAACTTGTACGACTCTAGCCATGATGCCTCCCATCGTAGAGTGCATTTGCACCCCTGCGCACTGGTCTACTGTGATCACTAACGGTCGCACCAAGATTACAAAAATCAGTCGCAAAAAAGAATACAAAGACAAGCTAGCCAGCTATGTAGTGGTACTTGCTCATTTGTCACATTGCTTGATCGCTTTGTTCAGGCTACTTGCAGTTGCTGTATTTGCAACGCACTGCGACACGAACGTGACTTGCCGGCTTCGCCTGAACCTCCGCTCCGGGGCGTACGCGAAACCTAGTCTTCAGGTGTGCAAGAGCTTCTTCGTTCGCTGGACCTTGGGCACATTCGCCATCGCACTTCTTCCGCTTGACAAAGCATTCCATCGAGCTTGATTTTCTACTGTCAACAATGCCGCTGGGACCCACCGCCTGTGAAGGCTTCCACGCGATCCAAGTATGTTCGGCCGAGATTCTGCTCAAGCTGACCATATCGAACAAATTGGGCCAATCTTTCCGCTGGCGAGAGCATCGATATCGAGGTCTCTCCACTCTGTCGAAAGATTCGCCAGACCCACCTGCTGCAGGTCCTACTTTCGACTCCGAATGGTCCCTCTGCTTGGATGATCGCGTCGTGGTTCTTCGGCAAGAGACATCAACCCATCAAATTTGGTACAAGACACTTTTGCCTGGAGCCATTTCACCCAGCGTTGCACATGTGGAGGGTACCGAACGATGGCTAAGGGACTATCTTAACCTAGATGTGCCCCTTGAAAGGCTATATGAGAGCTGGTCGGAGAAAGATCCGGTGTTTGGAAAATTAGCCGGCCGCTTCAAAGGAATCCGAATGCTGCGGCAAGATCCATGGGAATGCCTTGTCTCGTGAGTGACAATGCGAATGACATTGCTTTGAAATACACCATTGACGGAAGCCTTCCGTTTAAGATTCATCTGTTCTTCGAACAATAACATCGCACGAATCGGCCAGATGGTACAGAATTTGTGCACTCACTTTTCACGTAAGCGCCTAGGAGTGTCTACTTATTGTATGAAGAGTCTGACGTTAGCCCCACCGATTTCAGCACGGTTGATGACTCTGTTGCATTACTCACCTGATGATGCAGGGCTCAAGGAGGAGGTGCACTATCATCCCTTCCCTCCACCAGAGGCATTGGCTGCCGAAGGAGTCGAGATGCGGTTGCGCGAGCTTGGATTCGGCTATCGTGCCAAGTACATTGCGCAGACTGCCCAGATGCTTTGTGCTGCTCATGGGCAGCTTCACAGCCACGACAGCAAACGACATGCCAAGCGCCCGCGCAAGTCCCACGACGACGAAGCTTGGGTGACCTCTTCAAGCCATGCATCCGTCGCGGAGTACCTTGAATCGTTGAGGAAGATGTCATATTTGGACGCTCGACAAGAACTCATTCAATTTCCCGGAATCGGACCCAAAGTCGCAGAGTGAGTGCGCTGCCTTGCGAAAGGCTCCATTTGCAGTTTCACTGAATCGCCAACATTGACCTTGGCACATTTGCAGTTGCATTCTGCTGATGTCATTAGATCAACCAGAAAGTATACCAGTGGACAGGCACGTCTTCGCTTTCGCTGAGAAGAAATACAAGATCAGGTCCAAGAAGTACGAAGACATTGCAGACCAGCTCAGGAAGCTCTGGGGAGAGTATGCTGGATGGGCGCATTCGATCTTGTTCACTGCGGACTTGCGTGCTTTCAGCACTTTTCAGGATGAAGGGTACGCCAAGATGGATGTAACAGACGGTGTCACGACATCTTCCCCGCTTGGAATAGAGCCCGTTGCGAGAGTCAAACTCGAGGTGGAGGAAGAAAACAAACAAAGCATCCCAGTCAAATTAGAGGTCAAAGAGACTGCAACCGCATCGCTTGCGCATGTGGCGCAGAGCTCTAACATTGAGTCTCATTATCACGTTGTCAAGCCACGGCGAGCGAGAAACGCAGCCAAAGGCCAATCGAAGTAGTAGACAAACTAGCAGAAGTGGTCGCTGAATTGATACTTTTGACCGATCTGCGCCTTAGCCTTTTTGGGAGCTTGCTCCGATCCTGCTAGGACACCCTTTCTCTTGGCGCTCCGATTCGGATTAGCGGACGATGTTTGATCCTCCACTTGCTTGACCACTTCCGAGTCCTCTTGTGAACATGCCTCCTCTTCTATTTGCTGCCCCTCTGTGTCGCCGCTGTCACTTTGATCGTCGTCGCTGCCATCCTCATCATCCAGTCCGTCAGCGGATGACACAAAGGAGACCCGAGACTTTCGTGCTGAGAAGATGAGCTCGTTTTTGCCGGTGCCGTCATCTAGTGCGTGATACTTCAGTCGGATCTCCTTAGCGGCCCATTTGAGGCGCCACTCCTTGCGCGGGAGACATTTCCCGTCAAGGGCCTTTGCCAGCTCGATTCCCGTCTCGGCCGCCTTAGCCTTGCCTTTAGAATTTGAGGACGCAGACGCACCACTTGACAGCAATGGGGGCGGCTTGGAGTAGTACTTTAAATCGCCAGCACTCCAGTCTCGCAGCAGGATTCTCGCAGCGCCATGTGAGTCAGGAAGGTCGCGCTGCCAATTGACAAGGACTGTCAGCCACTTGTTCAAGTATTTGTGAAGCCGTCATGGACTTGCCCGATGCGGGAGTGAAATGTGGGCTTACTCACCTTCTTTAAGCGTCCGCGGGCGCGGGCAAGCCCGACGAGAAAGCTTTCAGCGGCAGCTTCGGCATGTGACGAGTCACTGGAGGATGGGACGGGGAAGGCTGGAATGCTGTACACAAGCTGGAGATCTGATGGGTTCTCAATCTTATTCAGAAATGCGTAGACTGCAACGCAGTGAATATAAGTAACGCATGAGTAATGAAAACACACGGCAGTGAAGAATATGTAATTTAACTCACTGAGCGGCATAGGCTCTTTGATTCTTTGAAGCGATCCTTTGTTACGAATGAGAACCCTTGCTGCGCTTGAGGAAGGCTCAATCGCCTCTTCAGAAGCAATCAGGGACGGAGAATCCAGAATGTTTACGTTTGTTGGGGACTGATAATTGTGTAGAGCTGTGGCAAGCGATGTGCGGCCAGCCTAGCGAGCAAATGATCGCAACGTCAGGATAGAGCTTCGCGACTTAAAGGAAGTGATGGCATGCTCACATTCTCCAATCCGCAGACGACGACAGTAGCTTGAGTCTCCGCCGCGGCTTCACCATGCCATGTGGAGATCTGCTTAAAAAGCCCTTCAAGACCAGCTTCATGGCCCTTGGCCGTGCAGACAGAGAAGACGGGTGCGCTCGTATCCTGACGGATGGCTTGCGCCCACTGCGAAACGATTTCGAGTGGGACAAGGTCTGAATAACAGCATAGGTGTCAGAAAGAGTGCAGAACGGATAGGAGTATATCACCCGGAGATGAAACGCACCGCATCTAGTCAAGACGTAAGCGATCGGCTTGTTAGATTGTGACGCCCGAGTCTGGAGCCAAGGCAAGGTCCACGAGAAGGGGTCGCGTGCGTCGACAGCGACAAGAATGCCAACACAACGTGAGTCGTCGATGAGCTCCTGAATACTGCCTGCATACTCTTTGACCTGGGGTTGTTTGCTGGAAGTGCTCGATGCATGCTGTGCCAAAGCTTCAGCTGCATCGGTGCTGTTCTCGCCCTTGTCTTCCTCATCATCAGCTGTACCATCTTCCTCTCTGGATCTTCCTTCCTTGGCAGCCTCACGAGCAGCAAGCTTGGCTTCCTCGGCCTGATAAATGGAAGTTCAATCAAGGGAGGGTCAGTAAACAGAGCCACACTGCTATTCGAATAACGGGTTCTCAGACCCACTGCTTGGCGCTTCTGCTGAATTTCTTCGAGAAGCTGCTCCTTGTAAGGATAGCTGTTCGGGATACCTGGATCTTTCTTGACACCTGCATTGGATGAAAGAGCCGCAAAGCCAATGTGTCAGCAATGGTGGGACGCTCCAGATCACACTTCGGAAGGTACTCACGACTCTTCCATTGAGTGCTCTTCTTTGCCTCTTTGCGCGATTTTCTGTGATGCTCGTTCACGCGTTTCTTAACCTTCTCCCTTTGCTTGACGCTGGTGCGCTTGGATGCGCCTGCGGCACACAAAACAGTGAGAAGTCAGCATGGGTCACGTTCAGCAGAGTTGGACCAACACGAAGGGGCAAGACTCACGCTTTTTGACTTTGACCATATTTGCGATTGTGAGAGACCCAGTGGCGTTACTCTATGTTCCTTTTGGGACCTTCAGCAGAATGATTCAGTGCAGTAAGGCGAATTGGTAGCACGATCAAGGCCAGCTAAGTGGATGTCAGCTGAAGCAGAGCCCCGACAAAAGCTCACTTTGTATGCACAAAAAAAGACAGGATCCAAAAAAATATTAGCCGTCGTGATGTGGAGTTTTTATTCGGTGCAAAGCAAGTCGATAATGTGTTGATAATGAACATACGAGAGCTCTACATAGTCACCCGCCAGGGCGTGCTATATATTGAGCGCCAAAACTCGCGGTGTCTCTGTTTGAAAGGTCGTGAGAGATGGCAGTGTAGCCATCGCATGCAGCATGCAGCTTACATGCTGCGTTAAGGGGCTTACGTAGTTAGGTGTCAGCCAATCTGGTGCCCGAGTCTTCCTTCCTCATCGCGTACAAGGTGGAAGCGCGTACCAGCTTGTCCTTGCCATGAGCCGACTATCATCAGACAATTGTTTGGAGCGATGGCGGAGTGAAAGTATAATTGCTACAACAATTGCATACAAGGTACAGTGTCAGATGAGAGGAGATGGTAGCAGCACCTGCTGCTCAAGCCAAGTCTGCGGGATCGCCGTCGCGCGCGAGTAAGGGTGTGCGCTCCGTCGCTCTCCCAGTGGACGCAGTGTCTTGACGCGTTTGGTCTTCGGCGTCGACAGTTCCCTGCGAACTTCCACTGGGGCTTCCCGTCTCCACTTCGCTTCCAGGGAGGCCAGGTGGTACGGGAACTGTAGATGGAAGGGGTTACAAAGAAATATTCACATTAGCTTTGGGTTGAACTAAAGGCGAAATCGAGGCATACCTGTGATATCCCGCTTGCAAACGGGGCAAATTTTCTTTTGCAATATCAGCCAATCGTCGCTGCAAGAGGTGGCGGGGAAGCAGAAATCCAGTGTCTAATCCATGAAGCCAGTCGGCAGCAGAAGATCGCTTACATTTCGGCTCGGTGGAAGATGTGTCCGCAAGGCAGCACCCGCACGCGATCGCTGCGAAGCGTTTGGAAGCGTGTGTCACAGCATCAGTATATCTCTACGTTAATCCAAATGCAATCATGTAGGCTCACTTTTCCACAAAGTTGGAAAGGCAGATGGCGCATTCGTCACTGTAGAACCAAGTCCTCCCTGGCGGTAGTAGATTGCTCGACTCGGGCGCCAGAGCCGTTGTCGCTGGCGGGTAGCTCAAGCGTGAGCCAGAGGTTGAGGCTTCAGCGCCTGGTGTTTCGGAGAGGATGGATGGGGACCGCCGATCTTGCTCATCTCCCCAGTCCTTGCCTTCGATCTTCTCCCATGGCTGCGTCAGAAGGACGGTGTCAGTCCAGCTCAACAGAGCAACGCTATGCGCCATAGATGTATCCCACCCACCTGACCGTTTCCCCTGACGATCAAGCAGGGCAAATTGTGCACAACCAGCTCTGGTGCCCGCTCGCGTCGTCTCTGCTGAGCCTGGCGTATTTTGTGAACGATGACGGTGGTGATGGTCATGAGAGAGGGCAGCAGGAGCAGCACAAGAGCGAGATCGATAAGGGGCCTGTCCACACGTAAAGCTTGTCATTCAGTCCGCGCAGCATCCCCTTCGAGAGGCAGTGGAAGGATTCGTATAGCTCACCAATCCCAAACGGTGTCATCCCGAGAGAGGACTATTTCAATTCCCAGCGGATGAGGCTCTTCGCCAGCGCTACTAACACTGGAGTTCAAAGCAGCTGTCCAATAGTCGGCCTTGAGTTCGAGGATCAGCCTTCGAAGGTCGAGGAAGCTGGGCTGTGATTCGGACCAATCCAAGACGGTTGTGTCAGTAGAGAGCAGGTACCACCTTAGCGCTGTGACAAAAGGATGGCGTACTCTTGTGATAAATGTTGATGGGATTGAGATGTCGGTCGTGTCTCCGGTGGCATACATCGTGAGGAGACGCTTACCAGAAAGACCTGGGTCGGACTCCTCGGGCGAGTTGCTTGGGTTGTCAGACCATTCCGGACTAGGAGCATCTCCAACGACGACGGCGATAGCTCCCAGCCCTTGAGCAGTGCGGACTTTCTCGACAAAGGTGCACGACCCACCCCTCTCGACAAGGGCGATCCAATCTGCTGGTGGCTTTGGGTCAGGGTCGGAGTGCTTGCTGATGCCTGTCGTATCATCGGTGCCTTTGTGATCGGAATCGTTGGTGTGATTGGAAGGACATGCGTACATGGGGTTTTTCGGCCCATGATAGAAGGTCAAGATGGGAATGAGGATGCCTCGCAAGCCCTCTGGTTCCTCAATTCTGGGTCCGAACACAGCAGGCCTGGTGAAATATGTGGCTTGTGTGCGGACGACTTGGATGGTACTGCCCGCAATGGCGCCGTAGAAATCTTCGGCAGGTGCCCCCTCTGGGCCGCCCCATGGGAGGAGGTTATCCGAACGCAGCAGAGGGCTGTACATCGGGCCCGTTACGGCTGCCGATCCTGCCATCGACGATGCAGCTGCCAAGAGCAAAGGCAGCAGAGTGGCGAGCGACGCGGCAGGGAAGATCATCCTCGCTTGCCACTGCGGCTGTAATTACTTGTACGGGTATCCTTGTCGCTCACTTTCAGCAGCTAAGTGTTGATACCCTGTCGACTGATTCTGTGAGTCCGAAGGTGGCAAATGCTAGGTTGCATTCGCCTCTCGACCCGTGGGCTGCTGCAATTTTCTGAAGGTGAATATGGCAGCAGCGTGAGGGGCGAGCAAGCGCAATGCCAAAGCGTGCGCGGGGAGAGAGATGTCTCGACGCCGATGAACAGCACGTTGGAAATATGGCTGTATAGCTGGCTAGTCAACGAGGAGTCACTCTTGGAGTCCGCCCCCAACAACAGCAGCGCAGCCATAGTACATGACACCCCGCGCATCATATCAGCGGGACCTGTACAGTTGAGTCTCATATTGTGTGAGAGTGCACAGCCAATCTTGTCACAAGAGTGACTTTGATTTCAAAGTTGCACCGAATGCCAATGCCGCTAACAAAATCGAACAACAGCAGCCGGACAGGGCATAAGATGATAACCTCAACCCGTCCTCACAACGTAGCTGGACGGCCAGTGGTCTGATCACCCAATGAATGAAGCAAGTAACCACCATTTCATGGCCAGGCTGTCATTGTTGACGTGCCATCCAGACCGTGTACAAACAGGCAGGCGGATCCAAGCAAGTCAGCGCCGTTCAGGATGTACTCCTCGCTGCACCATGGCGGCAGTCCATCGGACAGCGAAGCCTCGTCCTTTGCATCCGATCCACCTTCAGACTCGCTCGGCGTCCTCGGCGGCGATGGCCATGCCGTCGGCGACGCGCTTGCTCTCTTTCCCCCATCTACATCCCTCAGCAGCAGATATCACTCCATTCTTTTGAGAGCAAAGCTCAGTGCAAGACAGCGGTCTCCAAGTCCGTGGAACACTGGACCTAAGGATAAGACACCCCCGCTTCCGTGGTTGCAACAGGAGCATAACCACAACGCAAAGTCGCCTCATTCCCATGACACATCTCCTGCGTCATCCTCTTCCTCCTCCATGATCCAGCTCGAGGATAGAGAGGAGGACGAATTAGGGATGTCATCCCCCGGACCAAGCACCACAAATTGGCTCGAAGAGCCAGACGTCTCATCAAGGTCCGTGCTGAAAACAAGGCGGGCGAGATCACATGCAGAGGCTGATCGGGCTCTGCGATGGGCCGCCTCTGTCAAAACCGATGACTGGGACACATGGGAAGCAAGTTGGAGGCAAGGCGCTTTTCGCGTGCGTGGGCATCGACGGGGGTTGGTGCAGCCTATTCATTCGTGCTGACGACATGTTCCCCTCTCCCTATGCGTGGCAGCGAGAGGCGCGAGGGCGAAAACAAAGCCGGCTTGCTGCGGAGCCACAGGCCTTGACCACGCCTTCGCGACAGAGCGACGACCTAGAATCAATTAGGAAGATCCTGGGTACCTTGAGAGTCTCGCAGCAGCAAGAGGAAGAGGCGTTAAAGAATGACTTCAACAAGCGCTCTGAACAATTATGGTTCGATATCGAGCAGACCATCCGCAAAGCTGAAGACGATACCCGAAAGGCTGCCGAGGCAGAGGCTGAGCGGCTGCGTTCCATGCGGCTGAAACAGATCGAGCAAGAGCGAATCGCTGAAGAGACCCGCAGGAAGGAGCAACAGCGGGTCGAGGAGGAAAGAAGGGCGGAAGAACGGACACGAGAGGAGAAGAGACAAAAGGAGCAGGAGCAGCTCGAACAGAAGCATAAGGAAGAACAGCAAGCGCGGGTGGAGAAAGAGGCGCAAGAGCGCAAGAGCGTTGCCTTCTCCAATGCAAAGAAAGATTACGAGCATTGGAAAGCTAGCATGGAAGTGAGTCTCTCGGGAATGCTGAAATCTGCCACATTCAGCCCCTAATCCATTTCTCGACTTATTTTGACTCCGCAGGACATCAAGAAGAACGTCCTTCCAGCTGTCTCAAGCAATCCAACTTGGAAAAAGCAATGCTTCGATGCGAAACGTAGGATCACGCCAAAAATCAGCCAGCTGACCAACTCACGGGAAGAAGTCGTCCGCATTGTGAGTTTTTTCTTTCTCAGTGAAGCCTTGTCTGATCAAATTACTGAAATTGGTACCCACCCTTAGACGCAGGCAATTCTCGAGGTGTTGAACGCTGCCAAAGGTACAGGCGCAAAGGATATCTATATTTGGATTCTCAACCACCTTTCCAAATGCTTGATCAGACAAGCAGAGCAGGAGGTGGCTGTCAACCAGAGCGCTGCTTTTCCTTTGGCGCAGGTCGTTTCATGGCTTCTCTTGGAAGATCATGTGGAATTGGGCACAGTCTTGATGAGTAGGCTCGTGAAAAAGTGCTGCTGGTGCCTGCCCTACCTACCACTTCCTTCACCTGTGAGCATATTTCCTTGATCGTGATACTGCGCTCCAACATTAGGTGTTCTGATCAAAATCACGTGTTGACCCACATAACACAGGGCCAAGACGACCAATCATATCTCAAGCAGATCGGCCGCAAAGATCGCGAAGAATCGCAAAATAATTACGTCTCGCGTATGTGTGGCATCTTTGCCTTCTACATGGCGGTACTGCAGACGAAGCCCACGTCGCCTCCCTCATCGTTTGCCATCGGAGCGGCGCCAGCCGTTGAACGCATTCCGGAGCACTTCAGGTCCTTCGCTCTGTGGCGATGGCAGGCCCAGAGCTTGCAGCCTCCACTCGTGCACCAGTCCCTCACGCCGAATCTGTGGTCGACTTTTTTCGACATTGCCGGCGCAACGGCACAGCGCTTATACGGGCGCCAAGCCGCCAAAGTCTGGCTTCTGCTATTTACGGAGGGTATCCGTGCCAAGCGCGCAAAGTGGTCCACCTGTGAAGATGCGACTGCGGCAACTGCACGCCTCACTCTGCTCCTCGAGCAATGGCAGCGGGAAGGTTCATTCAAGGAAGCGAAAGGATCGCAAATGGGCCCGTGAATGATAGCTCCAAAGTAATGAAATGATACAGATACTAAGCTAGATGCTTACAATATGCAGAGGCTTGGGATCAGCACTCGATGCAGCCGTGTCGGAGAAAGGGAAAAGAAGATGCTTGAACTGGTTAGTACTTGAAGAGCTCCATGGGTGCGCCCCCCACTGGAGGCGCGTAGCCTGGCGGCTTCAACTCCAACACCATCCTCGCAACGATCTCGTCTTCGGTCCCAGTTGTGGTCTTGTTCGAGCCTGAGCTGTTCTGTCTCGAGTGCGTCGAAGCGCTCGCATCTGGTGTGGTGCGTGCCACGAGCGCGAGGGGAATCTGAACCGCGTGAGGTCCAAGGTCCGCAGGGACCATGCCTGAGAGCTCGCACAGGCGAGGATCCCACGACAGCCAGCTGAGCCAGAGTGGGAGTTGAAGATGGTCCGAGCTTTGGTCGTCGTCTAATACTGGAAGGTACACGGTCTTGCGTGCCGAGCGCTTTCCTGGCGAGCCTGGCGCACCGCCCTGCAATGGTGGAGGCTGTCTGAGCTTGATCTTAGTCCGCAGCATCTCTCCAAAGTCGGCTACTACGACTTGAACCATGTCCTCGGTCCAGCTGGTTCGAGAGGAGGGTCGCGAGCTCGAGCGCACGCTGGATGCTTGCTGAGCAACTTGCGGGACCGGAGCCGGGGCTCCCACGGTGCGCATCGTCTCTTCCGGCCTCGTTTGAGAGGAGATCGACGCAGCTCCGAAAATGGACCCGGGTGCTGGTGACGGTGGTACTCGTTGATCATAAATGACACCCCCTTCTACGGCGCCTGGGCCGTTGTGGTCTGTTGTGTAGCTGAGCGCGCTGAGCCGCTTAGAGGATCCAGTTTGCTTGTCACCGACAGACTTGAGGTCTCTGATCTCGTCTTCCGCGTCGTCAAACACACCATCGGAGTCGTCCACTTGGACCTTTGAGCTGACGTTCCTCGCAATCGTCATCAATGCTGGCTGGTGCCGCTGCACGGACCGGAGGCTGACCTGACTGACGTACTTGACTTCCGCATTGGCCAGATCTCCCTCTTCCGTTGCCTCCTCTTCGGCCATTGGCTGCTTCTCAAAGCGCTGGGTCGTCGTGAAAGCGGGGCTTTCTTTTGCATGTCCGCCACGTTGTCGGATGGCGCTCTCCAGTAGGCGTCTGGCTGGACCGCTCCGCCTGACTGGCATGTCTTCGCCACGAGAGGCTGTGCTGCGCGGAGTGGTGGATCCAGCTGGACTCGCGGGCGTAATGTTCTCGTGGAAGATGTCTGTCTCCCAGCTTGCCTTGCGAGATCCAAGAGAGCGCTGACTACGAGTCGGAGACGTCCTGTAAGGCTGGTCGCTGGTCTGTCCGTCCAAGGAGAGGCCAAGTCCGGTCGATGAGCCAGAGTGCTCGTCCTCTTGCATTTGCGGGCGACTGATACTGATGCTGATGGGCGGCTTTCTAGGCTGCTTGAGAATGCTCTTGAAGAAGACGTGCTTCTGTGGCCTCGCGTCAGCAGCAGCAGCTCGCTGCAAAGCCTCCGCATCGTGGTAATGGCGAACAGCATCTTCGTAGATGTTGCCGTTATTCCCGAGCTTGATCGCGGTGTGGTCGGGGCTCGGACTCGGAACGAGTGTGCTTGGCGTACCCAGCTGCTTTTCGTTATGTTGCCAGCTCGGCTTGTAAGCGATGATGCCCATCTTGGGGGATTTACTGCCTATGCTTCCTGCGAGGGTCACATCGTCGTCACTGCCACTGCCATAGTGCTTCACTCTGCCGTTGGCATCATGATCCTCGACGGCCATCCATCGACGGCAGCAGATCATGAGAGCAACGAGCATAATGAGGCCGCCAGCGGTGCCCAAGGAGGCTCCAAGAGCTACACGACCCTGCGGGCTTAACCCACCGGATGGCGACGCACCTGCACCGCTACCTCCGAGACCTGTGTCGCTGTCGCCCGTCACAGCGATGCTGAAGGAGGCCTGTCCCGTGTGCACAATGTCATCTGTGCTGTTGCTGCTGGCGTGCAGGAAGACCTTGACGCGATCCTCGCTGGGATTCATGGGCGGGCGACCGGACAAGAGATACGTCGAGTTGTCGAACGTCAGCCACCGCGCGGCGGTCGCAGGGTCGTACTGAACGGATAGTAGTGGCTTTGAGCTGTTGACCGGCGTGCGAATGAGCGAACTAAGTGACCGGTTGAAGGGAGTACCAGGATCCACGATGATGTTTGGAAGCATGCTCCCGGTGAAGATAGATGGGTATATGTTTAGCGACAGGTTGGCCGGGAGACTGTTGTTGAAGGTGTCCGCAAAAGTGACCGGTACCTGAACCGTCACAATATTGGTGCTGTTGGCAGGGATCAGATTGTCCGGAGGGGTCCCGGCAATAGAAGAGTTCGTTGCATCGAAGGTCAGCCAGGGTACGTGACTGGTGTCGACCTTCATGGTGATGTGATTACTGGGTGGTGACTGCCTTCCATCCAGCTTCAGGCCTGAAGTTGGAATTGAGTAGCGGAAAGAGTCTCCCACTGTGGCATTGACCGATCTGAGCGGACCACCGAGCGTGAGAGCATGCTGAGAGACGACAATGGTGAAGGAGGTCGTCGGCCCACCGTAGCCGGGAAGATTGGAGCCGGTCATGACGACATCAAAGCTTGCACCCTCGGGACCTGGCTGCGTCGGTGCGACGCCAAAAAATGTGTTTGTGTCTGCGCTGAAATGAAGCCAGCCGGGCAGAGGAGCGCCAGTTGCGAGCTTTGCGGAGAGGTAGACGTCCGACCCATCTGGGAGCGTGAAGGTATCGCCATTGAATCCAATGCTGAAGGACCACCCAAGAGGAATGTGCTGAGCTCCATCAGCAAGGATATTCGCGGGCCCCAAGCTACTGGCGACGGGCAATTGTTGAGGCAGCGGCATTGCCAGTGTAGGTGCTGGCGCTCGTATGACACTCAGCATGAAGCCATCTGAATCTGACTGGGCAGCCGCATCATTGGCTGTGAGTGTGATCCAGGACTTGCCCAAGTCAGTATTCTGCGGGGTACCAGAGAAGCTGCGCTGCGCAGGATCGAACTTGCACCACGGCGGCAATCCGTCAACCTCGTAGGTGAGTCCTGCCGGAGGACCGTTCGGTTTCGAGTCGTCCGTAAAGGTATTGTCCGAAAAGGTCCATTGAAATGGTTGCCCAGCGTGACCTAATTCGGGCAGCTGTGATGCGAGTGAATTGTTGACAGTCAGAGCGGCTTGCACGCTCGATAGGCTCATAGTCAAGAGAGCTGCCATTGCCCACCGCCCCATGGGGCTGGACATGGCGGACGAGCCGCTCATCACGGAAGGAGGAGCTTGCAGCGTGTGCGTTTTGACCAGGAGACTCTGCAACTGTCCCGTCCAAGCTGGAAAGCTTCGCCTCCCTGCGCCGGCCCATTCGATCATGTGTCAGCTTGTACTGAGATCGGCGAGACACGGGGTTCAACCACTCACCCTTCCTCTTTGCAATGAAGAGCGCGCGTCAGCGGCGCGACGCAGTATTGAGGTAGCCTGTCAAGCGAAGCTAGGCGGCGCCGTAGGAAGGGTGTGCGAGACGCTGCAAATGAAGAGTTTCGTCTTGATATTGATGGGGTGAGAAAGAACGTGGGAGGCGAGCGAGTCTGCCTAGGAAGGATTGACTGAAAGGACCGTGGGAGGTGACCGAAGTCACCTGGGGATGATGAGGTGGCGACGCGCGAAAAGGAGACGAGCACGGGAGGAGGGGCTTCGAGGATCAAGGATGGTGAGCACGAAAGAACGTTGAGATAGGATTAGAGAAGAGAGATGGAGATGAAGCGGTAAGAAGTCGTTGGGGTTTCTGCTCAACGCTACATTGATGGGACGGTTGCTGGGCACTGGTCGGACTTGGTAAAGGATGCAGATCACACAATGAGTCGAGGACGTCGCGCATCATGGACACCACTGCAGTCTACACGCAATGCTGTCCTGGAACTGCGAGCCCTGGGTCAGTGGGGTGTGACGAAGTAAGTGCTGCTTCTCCTTCTATCCACAGCCCGACAGCAAAGCACACAAAGTGTCCCAAACTTTGTCGACCATCTGAGCTTGACACCTCGTGCTACCTCATCCTACATACAATGGCGCGTGGCCGTCATTTGCCGGCGTCATTGCCGGATAGGCCATTCCCACAAGCCCCCGACTGCCTGTGTTGGAAACCCTTGGAAGATCGGAAGAGCAAAGCCTTGCCGTTATGTTCGAGATGGAAGCCGCTCGGGGCTATGCATGTGGTGTCATGTCGCACCAGCATGCGCAACTCCTCTCGCCAGCCAGAGTGCCTGCTCCAAACTCCAGCAATGGACACGGCGGGCAGCTTGTCACACTCCTGCGGCGATGCTGACCAAGCCTGGCGCTCTGGCAGCTGAACGCTGAATATGCACTAGATCCTGGTGTATGCGACGATGAGATGGGCGTGCGACCAGCCATACAAGGAAGGAGGGAGAGACGATGTGCCCTGCTGCCAGGCCCAACGACGAGGAATGTGTCGACAAAGGACGACAGAAGTGTTGTTTCTGTCGTCGGGCCGCAGTCGGTTCCAAATGCCGTTCCGCCTCTCCCGTACGAGAGAGAAACGCGTCCCTGATTCTTCTGCGACGCGTCACTTCGCGTCGCAGTTCAACTATGGACTGCAATGTGCAAGGCCAGCAACTCGGATAATTGAGCAGGCCTCATCGCCCTTGCGTTGTCGCCTCATTGCTGCTCAATGGCCACAAACACAACCTGCGTACAGTCATAGCCATTGCCCATTAGGCTGCCTTGTAGTACATGTAACGATGGACATACTGGTGTTGACGGACTATGAGTTTGTGATTTGGCTCGAATTCAAAAGTATATGAAACAGAATCATACTCGGGGAGCCAGACCGGTGACTTTGCACTTTGTCGCTTGCAATTCGGGGGAATCCGCGTCCAGATATTGCATATATATAGTCCCTGCTAGTGTGCATATGAACGAAGATTGAGTAAATGTACTATTCTCCTATGGATTTTGGCCGGGGAACCCAGTCATTCTGTCAAACATGAACAGGACCTCGGTCTTAAGACATATAGTCACCAATCACCGGAGCTTTTGGCTGCTTCGGAAGGCGGCCTCTAGTCGTAGCCGGAGTCAAGCACACCGATACTGTCCTTGCCTTGCTCGCATCTAGCCCGGCGCCAGCCCACCGGAGCAACCAGACTATTCACACCACATCATTTGGTGTGCTTCGAGGCAGTATTTAATCTGAGTACAAGAGCGGCCCTTGTCCAAGCCTGTTCACCTGCTGGAGACTCGGTCGATTTATCGACACCCATGAGCTTTTTCGTATAGTGTCGATCAGTCCTGCTCGCGGCACCTCTAACGAAATTCTTAGAGTTAAAGCGAATTCAAGCGACGTCATGGCTTCCTCTTCCGCCCCTGCAGCTGATGCGCTCGACATCTACAAGCTCACGCGGCTCAAGCGCATTGCCTCTCCGTGCGGGGGGGCTGGAAGCGATGAATGGGTCTTCGAATCGGTGACCCAGGCGCTGGAGCTGATGGGCAACCCGAGCAAGATTGCATATGGCGGCTGTGCATTGGCACTCGCCGTCACGGCAGCTTTCCAGTCTCTTGAAGGCAAGGACTATGCGATCTACTCGATGAGTGCACAGTATCTTGGCCCTACGGCGTTCAGCCAGGCTGTGCGGCTGTACGTGCGCTCGCTGAGAGATACACGGACATTCTGCACGCGTTTCCTACTCATAAAGCAGCAGCAGACCAATGGTCGATGGCGACCGACACTCTCAGCGACATGCGACTTTGTCGCGCCTCAAGAGGCCGACTCGGTTCAGACGCTCCTTCGTTTCAGTGTTAAGCCGGAACATCCGAATGCCCCCCCACCAGAGACCCTTCCATCGCCAGATGTGTCGCTCAAGCAGCTTGCCGATGAGGGCAATGTTACCGAACGCGAACTGTCAGAACATGAACGGAATTTCTCCCCCATGGCACGGTACGCTGACATGCGCACCGTACCGGATACTCCAATCGCACAGAAGCTCGCGGGAATCCAGTACAAATCTGCAACCTCGCAAGACGGCCGAGAGCTAGCGGAGAAGCTCTCGTCGGATTGGTTCAAGGCGACCAGCAACCTGCCGCGGCTCGTCGAGCAAGCTGACCCATCAGAAAATCTCACGTTGCGCGCGCTCACCGCGGCGCTAACCGTCTTCTACCTCGACAATTCCATGGCCTTCTTGCCGCTGACCCACTCAGAAGGGTATTGGTTCCCGCACGTCTCGGCCTGCTCCTCGCTCGACTTTGTCGCGCGCTGGCACACCGACAGCTTTGACGCGGCGCAATGGCACCTCAGGGAGCTCAGGGCGCTCCATGGTGCACATGGCCGCACATTCAACGAGGCCAGAATATTTGATCGGCAGGGCGAATTAGTGCTTACGTCGTCGCAACAAGCAGTCATGCGAGCGTCGCAGGCGATTCAGGAAGAGAAGCTGGCCAGTAAGAGCAGATTGTAATGGTATGGACCACATACCAGACTCCTCTCTCGCACCCGCTACCGCTCATTCATTTCGGCAACGGTTCGCCCACACCTTACATGAGGTAGGCATCCACAATTGCCTTCATGTGAGAAAGAAAGTTGATTTCCATACATCTCTTTCTCATCGTTGAGGTTTCATCGCACGGTGGCACGCGGATAACCTTGAATCCACGCAATTTAAACGGCATATATCTCAGGGAGCTCGCTGGGGTCAAGGCACTGCACACACGGCCGCACACTTAGCGAATTGCACGCCTTCGACGAATAGAACTTTGGTGATCAGCGTGTCACAATAGACTGTCGTGCGAGCGTCACACAAGCTTGAGGGTGAGAAGGTGCTAATCGCAGCACATGCTAAGCATGTTTCATAGAGGGAATGTTTATAAATACACTAATTGCGGAACGAGCTTCACTTTTGGCACTCAATACCCATCCGCGCCTTGTTCGACACCGGAAAACGGAGCCTTGAATCTCCAAGCTGTCGTCGATACCTGAATAGATTGGTTTGCCTCGCTATCGATACCAAGGAACTTTGGCGTAAGTGTCGTTTCAACATGGTATGCTTTCACAGGCAAGGCATCTTCGCTGTCCCATTGGAAGTGAAACTGTGCAGAGAGACCGTGAGAACTCGGGTCAACACGTATGTGCCTAAAGCCTTTACTCGATACTCACCTCCACAGCAGCTTTCCCCGTCTTGCCGCCGAACCAAGGCATCTCGATCAATCGCTTGACTTCAGGCCATCTCGAATCCGCATCTTGCGTCTGGTCCTCTCTTGTGAACTCAGCCTCAAGAAGATCTTTGATGTTGTATTCCATTGAGCTCGGATCATGACCGTAGGAAGATGGTGTCTGGTCGGGCCCGAACGCTCCAAGCAACGACCGTGAACCCGGGATCACCAGACCGCTAATCTGGAGCAAGCGTGACGAGAAGATGCTGGCGAAACACAAGCAAAGGTTCAAAAAAAATCGAGCGTTGATGTGCACCGAGCAACCTCACATGACCTGCTTGTATACAAAAGGGATCGCATCTGACTCAATGTGCTTGCGGTGCCAATGCTTGAGATACGGAATGTCGATCTTGGCCTCGTGGAAGCTCATATGTATGATCGAGGGCCCTACGCCAGTGCCGTGCTGATACCCAAGTTGCAGGACGATGATGTGCGTATCTTCACCGTCGGAAGTCTTGCGCTCCAGGCACAGAGAGTCATACACTTGCTCTGGGATCGGGAGGAAGGCGTTTTGAAGCCAGTCCGGCAGCATTGCCATTACTACCGATTTGGGCAAGGCGACAGGAAAGGTGAGGGCATCATACGTCCCACTTGGGGCAACCATTTTTGGACAGATGGCGTCAAGCGCAAGCGACTTCTATGCGACCCACCCGGGACAGAGGAACTTTGCGGCAATGAGGAATTGATGCCGGCGAAAAACCACGTCTCGCTGAATTCGTGATGGTAGATGCGATGCTTCGTCTCTCGTCGACCTAGCTTGTGTGCTACCAGTTGGTACGGAGCATAAACACAGTGACCTGCCGTGACACCAGCACAGTTAAGTTTCGTGGACGATGTATGCTGTATCGTAAGCATTGGCTCATCACTATAAGACCTATGGTCAATCAATACGAGCAAGGTGCCGCAATAATGTGGGGGGGGAGCGCCACGAGCCACGACATTTTAAACGCAATCGACGTTGATACATCTCTTTCCGGGTATCATTTTTGGGCAAAGGTCACCATTCGGTTCGTCACTCGGCCAAGGAAGCGGCAAAGAGAAGCGCCGTTGTCATTGTAAAAGGGAAGCAGTAGCCCTGTCACCGCGAACATGTCGAGCAAGCAGTGGAAAGCCGCAGGCGAGGATGTCTGGAAGAACAAGACGGAGAAAGTGGTGAGTGGAGACCGTGACCATTGACCATGCCGCGCTGTCGTCCATCGAGTCCCCAATGTGGTAAAAGCTGACGCGGATGGTCGCTACTCTTCTGAACGTCTTGCGGGTCGCATAATACCCAGAACGCGGAGCTCTTCACGTTGACTTATGGATCGCTTGTGGTGCAGCTGATCAAGGATTATGAAGACTTTGCCGAGGTCAACAAGCAACTTGAGAAGATGTAAGGCTTGGTGGTGTTCACTTGTATTTCCTTGCAACCTGGTCTGACCTTCTAGATGGCATCCCTCTTGCACGATTTGATTTGTAGGGGTTACAACATCGGCACGCGGTTGATTGAAGACTTCCTCGCACGATCCAACCTTGGGAGGTGTAACGACTTTCGCGAGACGGGCGAGGTGGTCGCCAAAGTGGGATTCAAGACGTTCCTGAACATTGTACCATCCATCTCGTATTCATCATCGTCATCAAAACCGGCAGAACCATCGTCAACAGCAGCAGCGCCAGCAGGGGTAGCCGGCGGAGGCTCAGTAGCTGGGACAGACGGCGCGACGGCAGCTCCATCAGCGCCGGCGCAGGAATTCACCTTGACCTTTGATGAGAATCCTTTAGCGGAATTTGTCGAGCTGCCACCGGAAGCAAGGGAAGGAGGGTTGTGGTACTCGAACGTATTGGCTGGTGTCCTTCGAGGCGCACTCGAGATGGTGCGTAGCGCAGCGCAGCCCCGTTCCTCTTCACTCCGCTCCCGTTACAGGAGGCAGGCTTACTGATGAACGAACGCCGCTTTGCCGTTTGACACATGCAGGTGCAAGTGCAGACGGAATGCTTTTTCACATCAGATGTCCTGCGCGGGGACGACACGACTGAGCTCAAGGTCCGGCTCATCCGCTACCTCGATGAGGAAGCGCCAATAGCAGACGACTGAGGTGTGTACGTTCACCGCGCCATTTTCCAAGCGTTCAGAGATCGATCCAACATGCTCCCAGCCCATCCCAGACACTTTGCCGGTCAAAATATGGGACTCGGCCCTGGATGCAAGGATGTAATGTTGATGGAAGCTGTGTTAAGAGCGGCTTCGCTCGCGCCCATTAGTGATACATGGAATGAGAGGGTGTAAACGGCACTGCACTGCGGTTCCTGGCATGCGAAACAAGACCTATGTGGTGATTGGGAGGAAACGAGAAAACTTGGCTGGGGTTCCTTTTCTTTCATCAAGAAAGCCAGCTCGGAAATCGGGCTGAGCCCATGGGCGCTTATCCCATGTGTGGGTAGCTGTAGTGACCGAGGGGAAGGAACTCCTCCTTTATGGTGCGTGCGCTGATGAAGCGGTAGAAGATGGACATGCTGCCCGCTTTGTCATTTGTTCCACTTCCACGCGCGCCCTGAAAAGAAAGGAAGGAATTGGGGCGATCAGTCAGGGAACCATGGTGCAGCTTCCACATTGATACTGAACAAGAAACACTCACTCCGAAGGGTTGCTGCCCTACGACGGCGCCAGTGCTGTATGAGCAGAGTCCGAAAGGGAAGAGAATCAGCGCCAACAATTACAATATGTCAAAAAAGAGACGAAACAAATAGAGACTGACCACTTGGAGTTGGTGTACCACATGCCGGAGCTGTTCCTGAGCAAGTTCGACGCCTGGCTGATCGCCTCGCGGTCGGTGCCAAAGACGCTGCCCGTCAGCGCGTACTCGGTGGTGGTGTCGATCGTTTCGCAGACCGACTCGAGCGGCTCGTCGTCCGGGTAGGCGTATACCGTCAGGACGGGGCCGAAGATCTCGTTGACCATCGTGACGCTGCGCGGCTCCTTGGTCTCGATGACCGTCGGCTGGATGAAGAAGCCGACCGAGTCGTCGCCGGTGCCGCCGCAGAGGATGTCGCCGCCCTCTTTGCGCGCTGCGTCGACGAGGCTCATGATTTTGTCGTACGAGTGGCGCGCGATGACGGGGCCCATAAAGTGCTCAAACTCGGACGTAGGACCGAGCGTGATCTTGGCGATCTCGGCGAGCAGCTTGGCCTTGAACGAGTTCTCCCACATCGATTTGGGCACGTACAGACGCGACAGCGCGCTGCACTTCTGGCCCTGGTACTCAAACGCGCCACGGATCGACTGGTGCACAGCATTATCCACGTCGGCGTCCTTGAGCACTAGGTGGAAGTTCTTCCCGCCCGTCTCGCCGACAATGCGCGGATAGCTCCTGTACTTGTCAACGTTTTGTGCGATCTGCTTCCACAGCGTGCGGAAGACGAACGTGGAACCGGTAAAGTGCAAACCGGCAAAATCGCGGTGGGCCAGCGCCGCACCGACGATCGGCTCGGCTGGGCCTGGCAGGAACTGGATGATGCCGTCGGGAAGGCCGGCCTCCTTGAAGATCTGATAGATGAGGTAGTTGCTGTACACGGCCATCGGACTCGGCTTCCACACAGTCACGTTGCCGACGACTGCAGGCACAAATGTCAAGTTGGCACCGATGGCGGTCTGCACATTATTGCGAAACATCCAGTCCAGCATTAGTACGTTCCAAGGCGCTACGATGGCCCTCCGCAGCTCACAAAGTTAAAAGGCGAGATGGCGAGAACGAACCCTTCGAGCGGCCTGTACTCCATCCTGTTCCAGGTGGTGGGTGCATGCGCGGTGGGTTGGATGGCATACAGCTGCTGAACGTAGGTGCAGCCAAATCGCAAAAAGTCACACGTTTCTGCGGCGGCGTCGATTTCTCTAAAAGAGAGAATAGGGGGAAGGGGAGATGCAAGGTGAGCCGATGTAACTAGATGGTCCGCAAGAGGGGCATACGCACCCTTGCCAGCAGTTCTTGGCCTGTCCAAGCGCGGTAGCAGCGAGGATCTTGTAGCGGTACTTGGTCGCGATGAGGTCGGCTGCCTTCATGAAGACAGCAGCGCGCTCGTTCCAGGGCAAGTTGGCCCATCCCTGCTTTGCCTTGAGTGCGCCCTCGATGGCCTCCTGGACCAGCGCCGCGTCGGCCTCGTGGTACTCGCAGAGGGGTTTTCCCGAGTGGTCCGCCGGGTTGATCTGTTTGTTGATCCTGCCCGTTGTGACCTGGCGCCCGTTGACGATGCAGGGCACCCGGAAGGGCATCGCGGCAGCCATCTCGTCCATAGCGACCTTGAGCTTTGCACGGTCCGCCGAGCCTGGTTCATAGTTGCGCTGCACCATTGGATGCGATGCAATGTGGTGGAGGTCAGCACTGGTCAGTCTGCAGTAAAGAGGACAGCACGCCAGCGGCCCGACGACGCACCATGGGCTCATTGGCGACGGTGGGCAGCGTGGTGACGCCAAAGGTGGGTGCGACAGACATGATGGATGTGTGTTTCTCTGAGGGTAAGGGTCGGCTGCGGCTGCTTTAGTGACCAAAAGTAGGAGATCTGGTGGGACAGAGGGGGGTGGTGGTAGAGGTGATGGGAAGAAGGAAAGGAGAGGGACAGAGAAAGGAGGAGAGATATAATCCAAGCCGCGTGTGGTCGAGTGAGTCGATGGAAAGGCACGCTTTCTTATCGATAACCCCATGTATACTACGTAATGCGTCTGCTTGCAGTTCACCACGCTTGGGCAAACCTCAGAATAACCCTCCCCCCTTTCCCCAGTCGGCAGAAGTAAGTGGCGGCCTAACCCGCACTTATAGTCACGGGCAGGGAGACAAGCGAGATGGGCCGCGGCACCACAAACACAGTCACACACATGCCATTCCGCCACTGCGAACAGGAATCTCGTCCTGGGCAGGTTAGGCACACGGGCAGGCTCGCAAGGTTGCATATTCCTCTCGCTCAATGGCCCTTTGGCTTTTGGCCGGCTAGCCACAGCATTTATGAAGCGCTTTCGGTTGTTGACATATGCAGGCACATACATAATAGTCGCCTTTGATGCCCTAGCATGGGCCTGCCCAACTGGCCAAGATTCCGAGTCCCTTTGCTAGCTGCTCCACCCCTTGAAGGAGAGACAAGCTCTGGCTGTGAAACACCGCGGGCCAGAGTCAAAGGTAATACACGCAACAGAGACCAGATCAGCGGACTTTCGCTCTGCATTGAGAACAAAGCAAAGCACGACCAGCTCCGGCAGGTTTGTGCGCAAGGAAAGGGGGTACGTCGACGCGATCCCAAGTCGGCCGCACCGCGTCCAAAGCCATTCCGGCGGACAGAAGCGGTACAGAAGCGCCGAGCTTTGCAAATCGACGGATGGGGATGATGACGATGGCCAGGGACTGGTCGCTTCTAATGGCTTCAGACGGATCTGGGTTTGCCCTCAGCGATATGTCCCAGATGTGTCGTGTCGCCGTCTGGTAGAGCCAGCTGCAAATCGACAGTTTTGTAACGCATAGAACGGACGAGCTACGCGGTCACTTCATCATGATAAGCCGGCGCGGACAGAGGGCGAGCCTTAGTTGCTCACCCGGCCACGCATTCGCACTTGGATCGATACGGATGAGCACGGTATGGGTTATGACTCAGAGCCCTCTTGCATCCTGATTTGCCGAAATCTGCACGGCTCAATGCAACGGTGACGTGGAACAGGTGCAGGTGCGCACACCCTCAGTTGCGCAATCAGCAATCCCTGTCAATCGACATATTGTGCTACTCGCAGCTGTCGGACGAGGTGCGATGATCAGAGTGGTGCAATATGCTACACAGGTGGACTTGCGGTGGCGAAGAGGCGGGTGCGTCGCAAGGGGCAGTCTTGACGTTTTGCGGTGGCAAAAGGTGAAAGAGGTAGGGGAAAAAGATGATCGCAGGTATGGAGTGCGATCATTGCGCGTGGCGCTGTTGCTCCAATTGCTTGACCTGTCAACGATCAGACGCACAAGATCTGGTCAGCCCTCTGATACAGCCTCAATGAAGACGTAGGGTGCGGATTCGCTCTCACAATGTATAGAGAAGAGTCAAGGAATCTTTGATTGATGATAGATAGCGTAGAGAGATAGGGAACGGAAGTGTTAGCCATCGAGGCTCTTCGCCATTCAGTTGAATACGAAGCCAAACACGCACCGCTCTACGCAGTTGCTCAGGCAGGCCTCTTCTCCGCGTCCGAAGCGCGCCCCGATTGATGATGTAATGCACTTGTCCCAACATAGCTGCATGAGTATCAAGAGCGAGGGCAGTTGTCAGCGTTTACGAATGCTTTCATGACTTTAATGCCCGTCTTTTCAACGTCACGCAAGCGCGACGACAGGCGAAATGAGCTAGTTTCTCACCTCTGTAAAGTCTTGATTATCACAATATGGGAGGACGAAGTCAGCAAAGTCGAACTTTCCACGCGTAAGAAATGGCGCTGCCACTCACTGTGGACGCTGTTCTGCACGCGGGCCTTGGCTTGCTCCGTGTCCAGGAAGGACTGGAGCTCTTTCTGGTCCGCTTCACTGAGTCCTGCTGCCGACATCTTGCCTGAATGATCCCTTGACCTTAGCTATGTAAGGCGACGGCTGACAGTAGGCACGTTGAGCGTGATGGTAGTACAAGAAGCTGTGTGTCCATTAGAAATTGATCGGTCATGGCAGCGCTCGGGAAGCATACGAGGGAGGACAAAGATGAGAGGAAGAGGACGAGTGGAGGGGCGGAACGAAGCGTTGACGTTTTCAATATTTTGCAGCTGTCCGCTGCTCTCGTCATGAACTGCAGCCAACTATCTGCATTTCCCTCCTTTTCCTCATCGAGCAAGCGCGACGAGACGAGGACTCAAAACGGTACCCGTAACAGGCCCGCCCCATTGACGCTGATACCGAAGAAAAATCATGGGCTCGGACGCCAAAGTTTCGAAGAAGGAGAAGAAGGCCGCGCAATTCAAGGCGCAGAAAAGCGGCGGTAAGCGAGGCAGCAAAGGCTCGGCAACAGCCGTGAGCGATCTGCCAGAGAACGACCTGCTCGATGACAATGGTCAGCCGGTACACGGTCAAGGAGTCGGCGAAGATGGAGAGCGAGAAGAAGAGAGCGTAGTCAGCTCTATCAAGAAGGGCAAGCGGAAGGAGAAGAGCGCGCCGGCCTCCGCCGAGAAAGAGGACGCTGCTGTCGCCGATGAGGTGCAGGAGGCAGAAAAGGCCAAGAAACCAAAGAAGAGCAAAAAAGGCAACAACGAGGCCTCAGAGGAAACATTACAGGCGATAGATGCTATATCCGCATCCAAATCGGCAGTCACAGGCGAGAAGCAGTCAAAGAAGCGCAAGCGGACAGAGGAGGATGCGACGGATAAAAAGGCGTTGACGGCCAAGCGGACGACTTTTGGCGACGATGGAGAGGCCGAGGCGGTCGAAGAGGTGAAGCGGAGATCTGCCTTGGAAGCGCAAGGCGATGGAAAGAAAGCAACATCTGAAAAGGGGAAGGAGGATGCTGTGAGGAAATACATCGTCTTTGTTGGTCAGTTGAAACCGCTACAACCTATCTTGCAGTTGTGACGCTGACACGCCTGATGCGGTTTGTTGCTCGGCTCATAATCTCTCTCTGTACAGGCAACATGTCGTACAAGACCAAAAGCGAGGAGATTGCTGCCCACTTCGCGTCGCACTGCGGCGAGAAGCCGACGGTGCGGCTGCTGACGACGAAAGCGGATCCGAACGCGCTAGCGAATCTGTCCAAGTCAAAGCAAAAGTCTCTCGCAAAGGGCAAGGCTTCGCACGCGGCGCAGGGCGGCGTTTCGAAGGGGTGTGCGTTCGTAGAGTTCACGTCGACCGCCGCGCTGCAGAAAGCGCTGAGTTTCCATCACACCGCGTTCGCCGGCCGGCAGATCAACGTCGAGCTCACTGCCGGCGGCGGCGGCAAGACGGCACAGCGGACGGAGAAGATCCAGAAGAAGAACGAGCGCCTCGACAAAGAGCGACAGAAGTTGCATGACAAGTACATTGCGCCAGCGGCAAAGGAGGCTAAGGCGAAGAAAGCATCGGCGGCGGCGGGCCCTCCTCCGAGCAAGAAAGCGAGGATGGGCGCGGACGAGGCAGCGGCCGAGGGAACGGCCCAGTGGGGCCGGCGTTCTTCCGGCGCGGGAAGCAGAACGGGTGCCAAGCCAATGCCAAAGTGGATGGCGAGCGGCGCGAACGCCGTCCGATTGCAAGGCTGATCCAGGATGGCTACTGGCATTTTTGTAAGGCCACGTGCGATCATACGTGAGAGTCTTACAATAGTTGTCTCGACGGGGGGTGCTTGCGTGCTTTTTCTTGTGCTTGCGTTTGCGGGTACTCTACACAGTTTTGCGTGTGTGACATGACGTGCTTCATTATGATGAAGTCTGCAGTCAAGCAAGGGGCACGCCCCCAAACTCCCTGATCTTTCCACGTAATGGAGATGGCCCCGGGTTCGTCTGCCGCGTGCGGTCTGTACGAGCGTTGATGTGGCGTCATGCAGCACCCAGCCTCTCGTCGAGGAACTCCTTCGTGAAACCCTCAACGCCGTCACGCACGTCTACTACCTTGCCGACGTCTGCCTGTACCGCAAAGTTGCTCAGCGCGGAAGCGTACAGCGTGGAGAGGTCCACGGGGGAGGTGGTTGGCTGCCAACTGTACAAGGGTTGCGAGTAAGGGAGTGAGAGGTGAGCCTACGCGACGGGAAAGCGGAACCTGGTATGAGAATTCATTGCCGCACTTTACGAGGACAAGCGGCTGGTGCGTCGAGCGAGCGTCAGAATCAATGGGAAGGTAACGAAGGCATTTCCATGTGTGCTGACTCACGAAGGATACACGTCCATCTTTGTGCTCGAGCTTATAAGAGAGCACGATGAATCTCGGAGAGTTCTGGTAGAGGCACGAAGACCGTTCAACGATTTCGTACAGAAAGGAATTCATACAGACGCGGTGCTTACTTCTGGCAGCTCTGTTAACGTTTATTCAAGTCGATATCCAACAAAGGTACATGCAGGTCAGACTCGCGCACACAAGTACCGCAAGGAGCAATGCCGCCGATAGGACCGACCATCTCCAAGCTCTTCGAGGGTCGTGTCATCGTATGACTCCTCGACGCTCATCAGCAGCTTGCGCTTGTCGATCTTGATGATGATTGCGGCGCTGCCTGAGGAGCGCTTGGCCATGCGGAACTCTTCGAGCTGCTTGAGCAGCGCCGGATCGACGTCGACGGTCGACGACATGGCAGTGCTAGCTGGATCTGAATCTGGATCTGACCAGTCTGGCTCGGCTCGGTTCACTGTCACTGTCGCTGGACGTCGCGAGGTCTCTGTGATGCCATCTTTATGTATGGTGTACATTCCCCCAAGAGGACCCCAACCTGGTCCATCCAATACCCTTTGCAAGAGTCTCAGTGAGCCAGACTGCCCGTCGAACGTGGAAGGGTCTTAACCCTACTTTAAACGGGAGCCAATCGAGGCTGCATTGACGCACGGGCCAACTCCACCTGGGGTAACGGTTTTGGCAATGCGGCGGGGGTTTGACCATGGGAGAGTGGCACAGTGCCCATTGGCTAGCGCCGCATGCGCGGAACGCAGCAGAGTTACATCAGTGAGACTGAGAGAAGCAGTCAGCAAACACAGCCAACTGACACTGGAACACATATATACTATAATCATCATATTCTCTTGTCGATAGACCGATGCATTTGCTCCTCGCCGCGACCATTCCTTCTTGTTGCAACCAGGTCGCGAAGAAACGCCGCAGCTGTCACGCTCTTCGCACGTGCCGGACAGTCCTAGTTCTGCTTCTGCATCTGTTTCGGCACACCTCCCAACATGATCCGCTCGCTCATCTCCAACAGCGCCGCGCGCGCTGCACGATCCACCACCGTTGGTGCTGCAGCTCGCCCAGCCACCTCCGCCCTCGTCTCCAAACCTTCGCGAGGGCTTTTCACAAGCACCAAGACACACTTCGGATCAGCCCCCAAACCAGCGCTAGCAGCAGCCGAAACTGCAGCGCCCGCCGCCGAGCAATTCGACCCCCATGCCCCCACGGCAATGGACAAGCAGACGCCCCCTGCGCCTGGTGAGGACTTCAGGGTGGTGAGTATGCATCAGGGCAGGGAGGCGAACTTTACTTGCCATACTAAAAGCGAAACCGCATTTGCAACGCTTCCTGATCGACCTTGCTCCGCTGTCGGCACAGGTCATCGTCGGCGCCGGCAACATCAACTTTGGCTCAGATGAGGGCCCATGGAACCACTCCTTCCGTCTGGAGCACAAGCTTGGTCCACGGCTCAAGGTGACCGCTCTGATTGATCCGAGCGCCGCACGCGCAGATCAGGCATTGACCGTCAAGCGCAACTCGTTCGTGCTCAGCGCGTACAAGGACACAATCGTCTACCCTTCCTTTGAGGCGTACCTTGCTGCCCCGGAGCAGAAGGCCCTCAAGCCCCACGCTATCTGGGTCGGCTCCCCGCCCGCGTATCGTGGCCGGGAGGAGGAGGGGCGCAACCTGGAGATGCAGCTGATCAGGGCCTTCCCCGATGTCGCCTTCTTCATCGAAAAGCCGGTCTCGACGGGCCCAGTCGAGCAGGCGTTCAACATTGCCAAGAGGCTCGAGGAGAGCAAGAACGTCGTCTCGGTCGGGTACATGCTGCGCTACCTCAAGGTCGTCCAGAAGATGAAGCAGATCCTTGAGGAGAATAACCTCAAGGTGATGGCGACCAACGCACGCTACGTGATGGCGTACGAGCATACCGCCAAGCCCGACTGGTGGGACAAGAACCAGACGCTCGGCCCAATCGTCGAGCAGGCTACCCACTTCTGCGATCTGTCGCGCTACTTTGGAGGTGAGGTCGACCTGTCCACCGTCATGGCGCACTCGCTCGAGCACTCGGAGCCCGCAGGCCAGCTGTCCAAGATGCCGATCGACGAGTCGAAAATCCCTCCGGACCAGCGCATCCCACGCGTCACATGCGCCACGTGGAAGTACGAGTCGGGCGCTGTCGGAAGCCTGACGCACGCCGTCGCGCTCCAAGGCTTCAACTATCAGACCGAGCTGGATGTCTACGCGGACGGCTACTCGCTGCGCCTCGTCGATCCGTACAACGCCCCCGTGCTCTACTTCCGCCGGCCGGGCGACGACCATGAGGAGGTGGTACGCTACCAGAACGACGACCCGTTCTTCTCCGAGGTGAGCAACATCATCGACATCATCGAGAAAGGTCCCGGCGCCGCGCCCATCCTGTCCAGCTACGAGGACGCGGTCAAGACGTACGCGCTCACCTGGGCCATCCGCCAGGCGTCTGAGCGCACCTTCAAGGCGTACGGCAAGCCTGATGCATAGAGCCTGATGCATAGAGCCTGTCACATGTAAATTGCTAAGAAGTAATATGGCTGCTTGCAGATGTAAGATAGAAAACAGAAAGCTACGCACACTACATTGCATACATGATTCTAGGCTTGCGATCGGATATTAGAGGACGCGCTTGAGCCACAGCAGCAGGCCCTTCTTGAACTCCCCCTCCTCCCCCTCTGCGCCGCTGAACAGCTCAGACTGATATGTGCCCGCATCTGCGTCGGCACTTGCACCCGTCAGCCGCCCAGGAGGGCGCGTGGCGAAGTCGTCGTACCTGCGTCCGTGTAAGGCGTACACGAGCGAGCGTAGCGCCGCTTCGTGGACGCACGAACCCAAACGCACGTCCGACAGCGTCGCGTCCACGATCAGCCCGTGCCGGCTCGAGATGCTCAGCTTGAAGTCGCCCCAGCGGTCGCTCCAGGGCCAGTCTGGCTGCCAAGACGCTGGCTCAGTACTGGTGATATCTGCAGAGTCTGCGCCGGCCATGCATGCCGGTGCGGCGCGGGAGGTAGATAGCTCGTGCGTGAACTCGGGTGTTTGGCCGTAAGTCCAGTCCCAGCTTATCAGCTCTTCGTACCCCTCGCGCAAACGTTGCTCGCGCTGCAGCATCTCCTCTCCGACAAAGCTGGCTTCCGCCTGTTCTGTTTCCCCGCCGTACGTCCTGAAGAACTCGCGCACGACGGCGCGCACGAATAGCGCGTGCGTCAACCTGCCGGCGGCAGCAGCGTGCGGGAACGACTCTGTGAGGTTGGCGACACGCGCGCGCACGCTCCCGATCCCCTTGGTGCGAAGCGCGTCGCCGCGGTCGTTGTGCAGCGCTGAGCCGAGCGAGGAGAGGTCCGAAGAGAGGAGCATCGTGCCATGGTGGTAGGCGCGCGTGCCCGTCAGCTTGTACGCCGAGCCGGATACCTTGCGCTCGTGCTCTTTGGACCGCGCCGCAGATGCCTCGCCCGCTGCTACTTCTGCTACATCCTCCGCGTTAGGTATGAGTGAAACGCAAATATCGTTGCGCTCGTTGACGTAGACCCCTCGAGAACTGGCAATACGTTCTTTGTTTCCAGCAGCTTGGGCCAGCGACGCTTCGACGTCATGCGAGCCGAGGAGGTCAATGGGAGGTTGGTTGAGAGCGCGAACGATCAGGTGCGCATTCGTGCTGCGATCGAAGGCAACTTTTGATACGTGTATCGAGTAGTTCGTATTTCCTAGGTCCTGGCATACCCCATGATCAGAGTCGCTGTTCAGGGTTCGCGATGCCAGACGAAGGTAGGGAGGGTAAGGGGAAGAAACGCACATGATAGACGGTCCCACCTCCGCTTCTCCTTCTGACTAGCGGTATCCCGCGCTGGCACATGGTATGTGCGTCCACCTCTTTCCACGCATTCTGATTGCGGCCGACGACGACACAAGGGTCATTGCGATAGAGGAGCAGGACGGGAGGTTGATCTGGTGGATCTGCATTCGCAGTTGCATTCCTACGCGATGCTTTTGGCGGCCGTGAGCGCGAGCGAAAGAGAAAGTCTTCGAGGGACAAGTTGAAATATGGATCTGTGGAAGTAGAGACGAAGGCCTGCAGAGAGTGATAGAGAGAGGGCGTGAGAGGGTCTGTGAGATGCTCGCAGCGGTGACCGTAGAAGTAAGGGGGGCACGGCATACCTCTGGACGCGCCATGTCAGGCCTGCTGAGCGACGTGAACAGTTGCGACTGCAGCGGCGGCCCTACTGGCCTGCTTGCATCTCGTATGACTGCTGTCACTACCGGCGATGTCGAGGCGATCGAGCTGAGGCGGACGAGAGATGACTGGTGAGCCGAGGCAAGGGTGCGGCAGCGGGAGAGGCAGGAGCGACATGAGGATAACGCGTGCATACTTGACGTGGGCTCTAGCGCGATGCGCCTGCCTGTTAGTCAGTTGCAGGGAGCGAAGCGTCCGAGCTCCGAGCCCATGTCAAGTACGAGCACTCCACTGGATCCAATACCGAAGAATGGGGGGGTATTGATCACTGATCAGCACCTCTGGTGCGCACGACAAAGCGAGTCCGCCCTCACTTTCTTTCTCCCTCGTGCATAGAACGTGGATGAACCCTCCCAATATATTTTGCCGCGGATGAACCGTGGAAGGTGTAGAAGGTGTTCGAACCAAGCTTTTTTCCCCCACGCCCAGTCCAAGTCTTGTATTTGTCGGGGTTTGTGTTCTGGCACTACAGCAGTCAATGCGGCGTTTAGGAATTTATTTTCTCAAACTCTCATCACCGTCGTCGTCTATTTGAATCACACGCAGGGAGTCATCGACAAAGCACACTCTGTATGAAAATCTGTGAGGACGCACTCTCCTTGCGTATATGGCTTCATGACAAAAGCTACGGGACGCTCGTGCAGGGTGTGCGTGCGAGTGACCATCAACATTGCATCGACGCTCACCCCCGCGTCGCCGCAACACAGCTTACCACCATGCCTTCCTCCTCTTGTTCCTCTTCATCTGCACGCAACCCTGACCAGCAGCGCCCGCTGGAACCGCCTATCTATCTCGGCGCTGCTGGCACCAGCAGCGTGACGGCAAATCGCTCACTAGCAGATGCCGTGTCCGATTGCTCCGCCTCCGAGTCTACGTACAATAGCTACCGTCACAAGGATGCGTCGCGCAGTAAGCATTGCAGCTCGGTAGCACAAACGAAGCTCGAGGACGGAGCCGAGCTGGCGCAAGATCCGCGGATAGCATTGCAGAAGAACGTCGACGCCGCCACGGCAGGCATCTCGCGGAAAATCTCGCTGCCAGTTCCAGGAGCGCCGCCCACGGCTGATCGCACGCAATCGGTCGCAAGAATAACATCACCATCCATCCCAGCCGGAGCAGCTCCGCTCGACCTCAAGTTGACACTCACCGCCACCGGTGACCCGTCCGTGGTGTACATCGACTGGGGGCCGGGCGACCCGGATAACCCGTTGAACTGGTCCACCTCGCGCAAGTGGGCCATCTGCAGCGTCTGCTTCACCTTTGCCATGCTCACCGCTATCAACGCGACGGGGTATTCGGCTACGCAGGAGGCTATCACGGCCGAGTTCGGCTGTTCCAACGAGGTTTTCTTGATTGGAAACATGACATACTTTATCAGCATCGCCTTCACGCCTATGGTGCTCGCCCCGCTCTCCGAATCGCTCGGGCGCCAGGTGATCTACCTCATCGCCGCCGTACTCTACGCGTTGCTCTACATCCCGCAGGCGCTCGCTCCCAACATTGTTGCTATCATTGTCGTCAGATGGTTTCAAGGCTGTTGCGCCAGCGTTGGCAACTCCATGGTCGGTGGATCCGTCTCGGACGTCTTTCCGACCGTCAAGCGCGGGCTACCGTTGTCTGTCTTTTGCTTGCTCGTTTAGTACGTACCCACCCAGCAGCAAGGAAAGGATGTCGCTTTACACACCATTGATGTTGTTCACATTCTGCTTTACCTCTTTGCAGCGTCGGACAATCATTCTCACCGACAGTCAGCGCATACATTGTCCCGTCGCACCTCGGCTGGCGCTTCGTCTTCTGGTGGCAGAGTATCCTCGGCGCTGTCGTCTTCCTGGCCATGCTGCTGCTCATGCGCGAGACACGCGGCACGTACCTCCTTTCACGCCGCGCCAAACGCCTCACCAAACAGTCGATGCATCAGTACCAGCAGCAAGAGCAGTCTAGTGGGAAAGCAGACGAAGAGTCCTCGCGTCGACCCGGCTACATGACCTACCGCTGCCGCGCCGATGACGAGCGGGGCAGCTTCATGACGATGGCGCGCACGTCACTCTCGCGCCCATTCGTATACCTCCTGACCGAGCCGGTGTGCCTGGTTTTCTCCCTATGGGTCGCCGTTGCATGGGGAACCGTCTTCCTTTCCCTAACATCTGTCCCCGTCGCCTTCCGCGAGGCATACGGCTTCACCAACGCCCAGTCCTCCCTCGTGCTTCTCGGTATCGCACCCGGCAGCATCCTCGGCTGGGCACTCAACTTCCATCAGGACCGACTCTACGCCAAAGCGGCCGCAAAGAACGGCGGCAAGGCCCCGCCCGAGGCGAGGCTGTACTACCCGTGCATCGGCGGCTTGGTCTTTCCAGCTGGCCTCTTCATGTATGCGTGGGGAACGCGTGCTGGGGTGCACCCTTCTGTCGGCATCATCGGCTTTGTCATATTCAACACCGGTGTATACTTTGTGAGTCGCCGGCAAGTGTTTCCCCATGCTGTCCATTCTTCTCCCGCTAACATCTTGCTTGCTATGCGTGGCGATTTGTGCAGGTCTATGTCGGTGTCTTCAGCTTCCTCTCCGACGTGTACGCGCGCTACGCGAGCAGCGCGCTCGCCGCGCAGAGCTGGCTGCGCAACGTCTTTGCGGGCTTCTTCCCGCTGTTCGGCGTGATCATGTACGAGCGTCAAGCGCCTCCGATTGCGACGACAATCATCGCGAGCATCGGCTTGGCGCTCGGCATCGTCCCCTTTGCGCTGCTCAAGTATGGCAGCCGCCTGCGCGCTGTCAGCCGCGTGGCGAAGCAGCTCGCAAAAGAGGAGGAGGAGGCGGAGGAGTTCATGCGCCATCAACGCGAGAAGGAGCAGCGCCGCGCGGCGAAAGAACAGCGCAGGAAGGCCCTGGCTGCCGTAGCTACCAGCGGCACGATTGCAGACACGTTGAAACAGCCGCAACGACAGCAGAAAGTGGACCTTGAGAAGCAATAGAGCATGCCTTGTCATGGCCTCGCCATCCTGTGCACGGTAACCATACCGTCCACTTGCGTCTCCTATTTTTGCATATCCTCCCTTTGCATGAGTATTTCGCATTGCTATGGAATAACATCACATTGTATAGCAGTTATCAAAGCAATAATTGTAGCACTATGGCAAATCGATTGTCGCACCTTTGACTTGGTTCTACTCGTGAATGCGGAGGAACAACGATGCTTTTAAACGTACATTACCGGTTCTGAGAATAAATGGCTGCAAAGGATAGAGTGGAGAAGGGTGTACCATCGTCGACGTGCATTAGCGCTCAGTGGCGATTGAAAGAGGGTTGGGGTAAAGCCTGCGCCAGCGGAGCATCGAAGCATTTAGGCGCTGCATACGATTCTACTTGGCAAGCTTGATCAGCGTCTTGAGGGGACATGCGCTTGGTACGGTGCGCTTGAGGCCCAGGTTCGTATGACGCGGCTTTCTCTATGAAGCCGAGGCGGAAGGGTGCGACAGAAAGGGCGCCGGATGGATACTTGTACGGCAAGTGCGGCACGACGTATACATCTTGGGTCGTGCGCGTGCAACTTTTAGGATGCTGCTTCTGCTGCCGCGAGCTATGCCGATCTTCGGGGCAGTGACCGCACATCTCGTCCGGGCTTCGTCTGAGCAGCTGCTTCTGCTGCCAGGTAAGGTTGGGCGCTGGAGAGCTACTACTTTCTCGACTGTGCGCTCTCGGTGCAGACGATGTTGAGATGTACCAGGCTGGCTGTGCCGCTGGCCGTGATAGCATGCCGTCCTTTCTTGATCGCATCGGCGAGCTGCGAAACTTTGCCCTGCCCTTGGATGAGCCGGATGCCTGTAGGAGCTTCTGCTGCCACGTTAGCGCTGGAACCTGTACGTCTTGCTGGTGCTGCTGCACTCTTGGGTGCTGACTTGCATTCAAAGCTTCCTCTGCATCTTGGCTGAGCTGGCGTGCCGCTTTGGAGACGGCATTGTCTTTGTCACTTTCTTTGGACTCCGAGCAGTTGCCAGCCCTGCGCCACTCTTCGAGCCCTTCTTGAGGACAGCCCTGGCGAGGCACTTCTCCTTGCTGATTAAGAGGACCTCGAGGCATCCTTCCATATCTTGGTGTTGATTGTCTTTCTGCGTCGCGTCAGGGTGGTGAATGGTTTGGGTGACCGCAGAGAAGCAGCGAGCTTCAGTATACCCAGCTCACTCTGGCTTGATGAAGAGTCCTGTGCGCCAGATTTGTAAAGAGAGGAGCCAGGATGCTCAACCCACGGCTTATGGTGAGACTGGCGTCACTGAATGCAGGTCCGGTGGCAGGTGCGTTTGCGGGGTGACGCGGGAAGCGACACAGTGACAAGGTAAAGCTATTGAGGGCAACATGCTTTTAAAGGGTTTGCAGATTAAAGGGCTGTCAAACGAAAGGCATCTCTGAACTCTGGTGATTGGTGACTGCCCTTTACTGCGAAAGGACCGTTGGCCGTTGGGAAGAGAGTCCACAGATGGCCAGGCAGGCGCCTGCGCGTCGAGGGGACCTCGGAAGCAAGGGAACAGACACTCGTTCATCGTCTCCTGCTCTTACCAAAGTGCAGACACAGTCGCTGCAGCAGCTGGTTGGCCCTGGTGTGGAAGAGCTTGTCTATACAGCGATGGTTACGTCAGTCGTCCAACCCAGGCCAGAGTGTTGATTGTGTTGAGTTGGGCTTGTGACTGGACGAGTGTCGCACGCTCGCGATATCGAGTGTTTGCATCTAGTCGACGCGCCACCCTCTCGTCTCCCTGTGATCGGTTGGCTGCGCCTCCGATGAGCATCGTGACGATGGCTATCATTTGGTTGAATACCGCTGCCTACATATCCATACACTTACAGTGTACTGCCGCACATAGGCATGCACGATTGGCCGGCAGAGCGCAGAGCGAGGCAAGATGAGTGGTCTAGAGAGTGAGTCGCAGTTGTCCAGGTCCAGGCGAGCGCTGCCGTGGAGCGCTGACGGACGAGCTCCCGACCTGCACTTGCAGAGTCGCTATTTCAACTCAAAGTGAGGAAGCTTTGAACACACTCCGATCAAAGTTGTGCTACGCCGTACGCCTTTGTTCTGACGCCTTTTCTGCGCACAGTTCACTGCCAAGTCGCTGCAGCGACAGGCTAAGAAGGCGAACAAAGACGAAGGATTGGAGAAGGCCAAGCTAAAGAAAGTGAGGGAACGGGAAGTCCATTCTCACTTCCGTTTTGCATGCACTTACCGCATACTTTCCGCATTCAGGCCCTCGCGCAAGGCAACACGGAAGGCGCACGGATCTACGCATCGAACGCGATTCGGAAGAAGAGCGAAGGGCTGAATTTGCTTCGATTAAGCAGCCGAATAGATGCCGTCGCCAGTCGCGTCGAGACAGCCGTGACAATGCGGCAGGTCACCGGCAGTATGGCTTCGGTCGTCAAAGGGATGGATAGGGCGATGGAGAGCATGAACCTCGAGCGTGTAGGTCTGAGAATCGATGCTGCTGCGGACTCGATCGATCCAAGTACTGACGCTTGTGTGCCACCTCTATACATAGATCTCCTTGGTCATGGACAAATTCGAAACACAATTCGAAGACATGGATGTACAGACTTCGTATATGGAAGGCACTATGGGAGCAACAACCGCATCAGTCACGCCACAGGACCAGGTTGACCTCCTACTGCAGCAGGTAGCGGATGAGAACGGCATCGAGCTCAACCACCAGCTCGGCGAAGCGGCATTGGAGGGTAAAGTCGCAGAGCTGCAGCAAGCCGAGAAGGCCCCGGAACCAAAGGAGGACAACAAGCTCGCTGAGAGGCTACGCGCGCTTCGACCAGCAACATAGCTCGTTGGCCGCTGCGTGCGCCGTTGTCTGTTGGGTTCAGAGTCACCCTTTCTTGTATCATAGCACAGAATGCCAATGCCGCATACCTGCGCAGTCAGGTTGGAGTCGAGTGGTTCTTATACCCATAGTTGTACAATGTTCTACACGAGTTTGGCACTGAGCACTGGTAGCTGGTCCTATAGATCATGAAGGCGAAGCCACGTCAGCAATCATTTCAACACCATCGAGTCCTGAACCTTGCAAAAGGCTCACCCCTGGAACAAAGAATCGCTCAACACCCTCTTCTGAGATGGCAGCCATCCTGATCGTGCCACCTGATGAGCCGTCTCTGCTCATGGCCAAGCTTAGGGCTGCGGAGGGTCAGTGACGGAGAGTGCGCAACAATCATCAGTCTGGAAGCCCGCTGCTGCAACGGGCGCCTACTAAGCAACCTACCATTTTTGACAAACTCAATCGTCTGCTCGCGATTCATTCCTGGCGTCCATGTCGAGTCGCAGTATCCGTAAATGTATGCACTGCCCGAGCCACCAATCGCCCAGGGTTGCTGGAAGAGGCCGCCGCCGAGGGGTACATTCCAGACGCTGCCGCCGTTCTTCTTGTCCCAGCCTGCGACGATGATGCCGGCACTGAGGCGGTCCTTGTTCTGGTAGATCATGTCCTGGAACAGGTGTGCGGCCGTGTGCACGGCCGGCTGGCCGTGCTCCACGCCGAACATGGCCATGTAGTACGTCACGATATCCGCGACGGCTTGCGTGTCGGCTGCCGAGCCGGAGCGGCAGCAGTATATCCGGTCGGATATGTGCGTCAGTTTGTCTGTTACTCTGTTGGCCTGTGAGGGAAATATGTGGTATGTTTGAGCGTGTAGCTGACAGCCTCGCAAGCGCATCATCAAGAACAGTGTGAGGAGACGCACAATATAGGATCCCATCGTTGTCCGCGAGTCCGCGCCAATGACGACGCCTCCTTCGAATGCGACAGCCATGATAGATGTCTGCAAGCGTCCAAGAGACATATGGCAACAGGCACATGTGTCATCGCAGGTAGCCACTAGTCAGTAAGAAGACCCGTGGCCGATGGCATCCAACGCTTTTAGGGAAGGCGACTTACACCGAGGTCCACCTCACCCTCCTTGAGTCTGTGCACGTCGACGACGTTCATTCTTGCGATAAAAACCAGGATCGCGAGCTAGAGAAGAATGGAAGAGCCAAGCCAATAGACTCTGATTCACAATGAGCACCCTGTCCGTGCGATGTTCCCTTGGTCACTCTTGAGTGTGATATGCCTTGTGTGTGCGGTAAAGCGTATATGCAGTGGTTGATTCTGGCGATTGAATGGCGTACACGCAACCTTTTTCGGTGTCTGATGATGACGACTCACGCGTGGGCGCGCGAGCGGTGCAGCAATTATACGCCTATAGCTGTATATATGTATTGTTTCAAAAGGTCTTCAGACTTCCTATACAACAACACAGCCGTGACAACTTGACACCTCCTTCCGTAAGCAGATACATACACGTGCTGGCAAACGGGCTCCTGAGGCGAGGGGCTAGCAGGCCAGCAAGCGAACTGAATAAAAGAGAGCCACAGCTTTCTTTACACGGACCCGCGCGTGGCCAAGACGACGAATCCCCGCCCCTCATTTAGAAAGGCCCAAGAGCAGCAAGCAACCGCTTCCTACATCTCGCATTCTCTCTCTATATATACATTCGAGAGCCGTCACGATGGGACAAGCACAATCGGAGATCCTCCGGGATATGGAGCAGAGCTCCAACTGTGAGTGCTTGCGATATTTGCAGTGGCGGGAGCTGATGTGCGCGTGCAGTCTCGGAGACTGCATGACGAATGCTCCCCTGGCCCGACCGCTGGAGCTGACTAGAGCTCTTTTACTCGGTTTGCTCAAGTTTCTGCGGCCGAGATCAAGCGTCTGAAGAAGCGGTTCATGAAGCTTGACACTAATGGCTCTGGATCGATCGAAAAGGATGAGTTCCTCTCCATTCCGGCGATAGCGAACAACCCGCTCGCGCATCGATTGATCGCGATCTTTGACGAAGAGTAAGTCTACCGGTAAATGGCGTTAGTATACGCATGCTCTCTTCTCTCCTGACCATACTCATTCGACTTTACCCTCACAGCGGTGGCGGGACGGTCGATTTCACCGAATTTGTCGCGGGCCTGAGCGCATTTAGTAACAATGGAAGCAGGGACGAGAAGCTAAGATGTGAGCCTGAGATAGCTCGGACATTCATCGCGAGTGAAAGAGAAGGAAGACTGAAGCTTCTGCTTGCATGCAAACGACCGTACTCTTCCTAGTTGCCTTCAAGGTATACGACATGGACCGAGACGGGTATATCTCCAACGGAGAGTTGTTCTTGGTGCTCAAGATGATGGTGGGGAACAACCTCAAAGACCAGCAACTGCAGCAGATTGTCGACAAGACCATCATGGAAGCAGACCAGAACGGGTGTGTCGTCATGTTGACCTAGCGTGCAGTAGTTGCGTGCGCAAGGTACACACATGTATACTGAACTCATTACTGTAACCCCCCTCGGTCGCAGCGACGGCAAGCTCGACTTTGAAGAGTTCCAAGCTATGGTCGCGAACACTGACGTGAGTCTTGCATCGTTACATTCTAAGAGGAAGAGCCTAATCCTTCTCTCGCTCGTCTGCTCGACATGCCACAGATCGCTAAGCAGTGAGTCCCAGTCTTGGCGTGTTGCTTTGCGGTCGACCAAGGCGATTGCTGACCACTGGGCCGCCGCCCTGTCCGTATTCTTTCTTCACGGCAGACTAACGCTCGAGGACCTGTTCTAAGGCAGCCGCCCCATAAAACCTCTGCGCCCGTCGGCGCATCGTGTGCGTCGCCTTGTGCTGCGCCCATTTCACGGAGCGCGCGGCCAACGAAGGATGAATGCACGCGGCACACCTCTCGCACCGCCCCCCATCCCCTGTCACACTTTCTTTTCCTTTGCGAGTGAGACTGTATCATACCATACACCATACTGGGATTTCTTCTTTGCCTCGTGGTCCTGTGGCCTTGTGAGCAGTCCCACGTTCCTCTCTTGATGCCGTCCCCTTGATTGGACTTGTCTTTGTGGACAGCCAGAGTGTTGTGGGAAGTGCGTGTCTCGGCCGAGAAAAGGCAAAAGAACAACCGCATTGCTGGGTTTGCTTTTTGGCGGCGCTCTTCTCGCCCCCGAGCACCAACACTGACGCAGAAAGAGGAAGGGCGAGAAGAGTGAGAGAAGAGAGTATGGATATATATGTATATGGTGTGTGGGTGTGGCCGAGTGAGCGAGTGCGTTGGCCAAGATACAGATACGTGCGGGATGGGAGGAGCCTGTGCTCCATCGTCCTACCACAATGCCATGTTACTATAGTCATCATCCTGGCTTCTCCATCCTCGCATCACATGTAGTGAGCGGGTCTTTGTGCAGCTCTCCCTTGGTTTGTGTCAGCCAGTGCCTCCTGCGCCTACCGAGAGAGTAGAACGCCTGCACCCTCACCCTTCTCCCTCTGGTTTGTTTGTGCGTGCGAGCCCATCCATACCCAGAGGCGCGTTCCGGACAACGAACAACGACACGACACGAGACGCCCGCCCGCCAGCTAGGCCTACCCTGCCCTGCCCTCGCGGCCATCCTTGTTTCCAGTTCGGTGGCGTCTGACAAGCAAAACGTCTGCGGCAGCCGCTGGAGTCAAAAGACCACGCCGACTCACCGCCATTCCAGCTGTTCTCGTGGCGCTGTTGCCCTTGGATCGTCTGGTAAAGGGTTGGCGCAAGGAGTCAGTGCATGCGACCGCAGCGGCGAACGCAACACAGGGGTGCGATCACACTCTCACCTCTGCTGTCGCCAGAGCACTAAGCTACGCGAAGATCTGTTCACTCGAGCAGGGTAGTCGCGCGTCAAACTTTGATGCGCCTGCTACAACTGTGACCAGGATAGCAGCAGTAGGAGGCACGTAATGGACTCGTTCCACGGCACGGATGCGGCAAGCGGTGCCGTGTCCGGCTTGGACGGGCTAGATGATTGGACCAGCAGCTGGCTCAACGAGGGCTTTGGATCATTCGCAGGGGACGGCGCTGGGTTAGGCAACGATGGGACCCCGAACAACCATCTTGCCGCAGGTGGCCAAGATGCTGCACCATCCACCAAGATGAACGGCACATACACCAAACCCTCAATGCATAGTAGCACAACAGACACCTTTGTCCACAAAGCGTCTGCTCAAGCATCTGGAGTCGCCAGCAACAACGGACACTCGTCATCCTCGTTGTCTTCTTTACCGGACGCATCCAGTTCCCCCCCGCTCGTTGCTGCATCCAAACCAAGCAGCGACAGCGATCGAGGTGGCGAAAGCTTGTCATCCGACATGTCGAGCACGATGCAGGCTGCAGCGGCCGCATCGACGTACCCGCTTGTCCAGCCGTATCCGGCAGTCACGAATGCTTCGGCAACCGCCAAGGCCGTCGACGGAGCCGTCAATGGCCTCGCTGGTGCCGCTAGCAGCACCAACGGCAGCGGTCTGGATACTGATTCCAAGGCGGCTCCAGATACCGAGGCGAACGGAGCGGCGTCCGAGACATCCTCCGACGCGGTGCGCGGTGCGCGAGGCCGCAAAAGATCCGCCGATCACGGCGACGCTGCACCTTCCTCGTCAGCTGCACCTGCATCGACAGGTTCACAGGCTTCCGCGGGGACAAAGAGATCGCGGATAGAAAATAAAGCCGAGGCGGCAGCGGCTGATGCCGACATCAGTGACAGTCCGGAGATTGTTGGCGTCCGAGATCCCACTGCCGCTGTGGGAGAGGCGGGTGGCGCAAATGCCACTGCAGCCGGCCATGGAGCAAGTGAGAATGCTGAGCCCACCGTACCTGCGTCCGCTGCCAGCGGAGGGGGGGGCGAGCGAGGCGCCAAACGGCAACGATCCAACACCAACATATCTACTTCTTCCACATCCAACACCAGCGCTACCGGCCACTCTGCAGCAGCCGTGGCGTCCCTGGGGCGCAAAGGGAAAGAGGAGCATACTGGCAGGACGTCGCCGCCTTCTCCCCAGAGCGCAGCATCGGCTGCGGTGGCGACAGCCGCTGACCAGGAGCAGCAGCAAGAGGTAGCAGAGCGGCCAGGTCCGCCGCAGCAAGCTCAAGGCTCGCAGCTGATATCGCCAGAGGGTAGCAACGCGTGGGGCGAAGAAGCAACCAAGTGAGTACTCCGCAATGCTTTCAATTGCTTGAAAATTCCATGTTGACGGAATTTGACAACATCATCACTTTTGTGCGTCTTCTTCCTGCAGGATGGATATTTACGTCTGGGACTATCTCTCGCGGAGAGGCTTGAAGAAGGCAGCGAAAGCGCTCGTAGATGAGGCAGGACTTCCGGAAACGCCGGAAGTGCCATTGCAGACGCCACAGGGGCTACTCTTCGAGTGAGTCCCGCAGTCACGAGCATGGCCTTTTGTGCAACTTGCACTCGCCGTACTGATTACCCCCAACTGGCCAATACGCACTGTAGATACTGGTCGATCTTCTGGGACGTCTTCGCTTCACGCTCGGGGCGAGGCAGCACGAATGCGCTGACGTACCAGCGTTACATGGAGGCCAAGACGATGCAGCGATACAACGAGGCTATGCGTCGGCATGAGAAGGAGACCGCCGCAGGGCACGCGGAACACGGCATCGTCGCGGTGCGGAGCGCGAACGATAGCCAGCGGTTCCCAAATGTCGTCATGGGCGGCAGTGCTGGTAATGCTTCGTCGCCCTGGCTCGTTGCGAATGGGCATGCTGGCCATTTGAGGAGCAGCGAGCCGCAAGGTGGCCAAGCCGGTGCATCGCTATCGCAACAGCAGCTGCCAAATCAGGCTCAGATGGTTGGCAGGCTCAGCATGCAGAATGCGGCGAGCGTTACACAGGGGATCGGCTCCGCGAGTGGTGCTGCTGCTGCGGCCGCCGCCGCTGCCGCCGCTGCTGCTGCGCGAGCGTCCGAGCCTGGCGCCATTGGCGGGACGCCTGCGTGGCTCGCGCAGATGGCGCCGCAGCTGCAGCAGCACTTGCTTCTCGTCGCTGCGAGCCGCTCGAACCTCCCGCAGAGCGAGCTCAAGAACCTTTCGCCCGCCGCGCGCGTCTCGCTGATCAGCTCACTAGGGCCGGACATCATTCATGCCACGCAGCAGCGCTTCCAGGCGCAGAGCCGGTCCGTCGCCGACGCTGCCCGTGTGCCTGGTGCGTCGCCTTCCTCCGGAGGGTTGACGCTAGAACAGCAGCAACAACAGCAACAGCAGCAGCAACAGCAACAGCAACAGCAGCAACAGCAACAGCAGCAAGCGCGCATGCAGCAACAGCAGTTGCTGATGCAGCGCCAGCTGCAAATGCAAAAGCTGATGCAACAGCAACAGCAACAGCAACAGCAGCAGCAGCAGGCACAAGCACAAGTACAAGCACAGGCACAGGCACAGGCACAGGCACAGGCACAGGCACA